CAGGAAGAACACGCGGCCGCAGAAGGGAAGGAGCGAAGAGAGACGAAATGAAAATGCCACCGGAAATGTTAAAAGTTGAGAATATTACTCCGCTGAAACCGCATGGCGGTATAAAGCTGGCTGGAATTAATGTTTAAGGGTCAATTTGAGGCCCGCGCGCCCGGATGCGAAAGTGACGTGACCCACTATCGTATCAGCCCCTATTTCCCCAGTCTCCATCCAGGTCTCTCGAGCGATTCGTCCTTTCCTCCCTATGGAAACACACGGTGCATACGGGGCTAACGTTTTGCGCGAAAGTGATATAACTCTGCGCACTCGTGAATACCGTCGCGACGACGGGGAGAATTTCATTTGTTATTATTACTCGCGACTTTTTATTCTTTTTCTATGTCCGCGCGTCATGTAACGTTTCAGTGTTGGCGCACCTTGATATCAACCTTGTCAAGGACGCAATCCGCTCCATTCTAGTTGTGCATTCCTTCCGACGCTCTCGTCAATATCACTGCCGTGCAAATCAATCGGTTCCGCGATTCAATTTCTTTCCGTTTTATTTTAATAATTTGAGCGAGAAATTCGTAATATTATAATTTCGCAATATTAAAGTTATGATTATGCATATGTTAATTATTTCGATTATTTATAAATTTGACATATTTTTCAATAGGAATTAATTCATCTGATATTTCGTGTTGTTATTTATCCCACGTATTTGCCTAATAAAATGATTCTCATGTCCTCTCTGAGGCCAAGTAATTTCCTGAATTACGTCCAGCCCTATTTTACGCGTCACCGAGTATCTTCTAACCGCTGCAGCGTGCGGTAATAATGGAACGCTTTAGGTAAATCGCACAATTTGGGATGCAGAAGCGACGCAACCTCCCCTTCGTGTCGCGCAACCCGCATACGAGAATAACATTTGCCGTGGCAGTAATTTAACTTTCTAATTATATGTGCGCGTATGCCTCTTGATTCTGCTCGTGACGCTTCTCTGAGAATTGAAATTGTTATAAAACTACTGCGAACTCGGCGGGAGCTTCGTTTGCTTAGAACAGCCTTCGAGACATCCTCATGAAATGTTAGATAAAAAGTAAGATTCACACACACACACACACACACGTTATTCGACTATTTTAAAATTATTTGCTACGTCGCGGATACATGTGAATTGCAGCAATGTTTACGGCGTTTTTTTAAACTATTTCATGTCACATAAATATATGATAATGACAAGTGGTATTGTCGCGTTAAACATTTCTCTTATTCATATTTGTTTCAATTGTTTGTCCCAATCCGTTTGTAATTTTGTTTACAACTTTCTCATCGCACCGCTATTGCGCGCTATTTACTGTACAATTTTATTTCAGTAATATTAAAGTTATGCAGTTAAGTTGAAAAGTTAAATCCAAAGCAAAACTTGTCCATGCGGGCTTCAAGCTCAGCACCACGTTATCCTGGAATTTCGCGCTGATTTGTTAGCAACTTTGTTGCTGGAACATATTATATGCGAACGCGAGTGTAACTTCTCACGTGGGAGTAATTTAACTTTCCAATTACGTGTGCGTGTGTGCCCTTGAGTTCGGCGAATCGAACTTTATTGCGTTTAGTTTAAAATCGCGCGGGCACAGTTTTATACGGGGCTATAAATATTTCACTCTATTTCGCGATAAAATACGTACAGTTGGATTGCTCGCGAGTGCCAAACTTTCCGCGAAATTTTCTTCAATTCTAGACAGACTTGTAAAATCTCGCGGACATTCCGTGATGATGTGGAAAGAGCAGCCCCGTGGTGCTTGAAACCAAGCGTAACGTACGAATATAAATGTGATTTTCCACGGCGCCAACTTCCCTCCAGATTCCGCACAGTTGATCGATCTGCGCTTTGAGAACATATCGTGTATGTTACTTACGGGAGTAACTTCTCGCGTGAGAGTAATTAAACTTTCTCGCTCTTTGTACACATAATCCTCTTGGTGATACCAACGATGTACTGGAAAGTTCACTTCTCTGACGCGACACATATAATGTTGTTGAATCAGCAATATCACCTTATACTTGCCGAGAGACCCGAGACTGCTTTTTTCTTTCAAGTCACGCATATATAGTTAACTGTATAAGCAGCTCGTATACATATTTTACGGGGGAAATTAAAGCAGGAGCTTGTAAAACGTAAAACAACTACAAATATTATTCAATACTACTTATTTATTCTGTTTTACGAGACAAATATGCAACAAGTAAAAGCGTATTGTATAATACGATTTCCTCCCATTTGTACCGAAGAGCTGTAAAAAGAAAGCGTAATGCACGTAATGACTCTTGATATTGATTTCGCTATGTCATCTTCATCGAGACTCGCCACAGAATAATTTGCACAGATAGATGGGAATTATTCATGAGTCAATTTAGTATGCTTCGGTAATCAAATGCGTCAACGCGCTTTCATAGCAAAACCAGCGGCGTTCTGACGCTTGCCGAGCGCGGATGTGAGACGCAGACACCGGAGAGTTTCGGTGTATCGCGTCGCCGTAATCAGTAATAAGTCAACGAATTGATAGAACATCCGGCCGGCTCTGCGACCTATCACCATATTTTCCCGATACTCTGTTTGCCAAAGTTACACGCGGATGACGCCTCATTCCATGTCCTGTGCCGAGCGGCCGCTGACCACCGCCGCGAAAAGCATCCGATTGGAACGCGGCGAATGTTCGATCCTTCGTTACGTATGATGCATTGATGAAATTTGCGGATCCGCGCATTACGATGTCGCAGAGTTACGCTGATGAACGACGCAAGCTCGTCACAGCGTCAAATTACGGAGTGGCTGCAGCGCTGTCGGTCGGTCCGACTGTTGTCCGCGGTAACGAGTTGACTTCCGCGATGCCATATTAATTATCATATTGCCGGCGCGGCGAAACGTCGTTTCGCCGCGAGTTAACGAGCAAGGAACTGATCGAGTAATCTGATTATGATCCCTCCCTGAAAATTCCTTACGTACCCGCGTTCCGTGCGGTTCTTGGGCGAGATTTCATTATCACCGGGAATTCACTCCGTGGCGGCGACGTTGCTTGTATTTTTACGGGTTTAACATATGCGCAGGCGAGCGAACGCGTAATTTGCATAACGTAGCTCAGGCAACTTGCGATTGTTATTTCACGCGATGCTTCTTTCTCGAATACTTTTTTCATTCCTTAAACGGAGATTTGTGTTGCCGCGCTTTCTCATTTAATTTTACATTATTTTGCACTTAGAGCGAATATTCGCGTTACTCGCAACGTTATAAAATAAACAATGTCATAAGTGCTAACTCATGAACACTCATGCGACTATTTAATTTTAAACAGAATGCCGAGCAATATGATTTAGCGCAAAGTATATTTTGACACGATGATGTGGCGAGATACGAAAACGAAACTGTTGTCACTCTACAACGTAGCCGCGTTCTCTGCGTTAACTTTGCACAAATTCAGTTGTCTGGTGTTCGTTCCTGGCCGAGCTAATTGCTTTGTGCGAAGCTGCCTCTTTTACGGCTTTGCTAGGAACAAAGCCATAAAAACTTACTAGTAATTGGATGTGAAAGGTAAATGTTCGCATAGTTCGTTGGTATATTATGATAATCAACTCTCCTGCATCCTATTTCCGCTCGCTCTCCCGCGCACGCTTTTAGAATGCACGCTACGCAAAGCACGGAGGAACTAGTTGTCTAGTATTACATATGTCTTTGGAATTAATGTTTCTCGTCAGCGAGTCATCGCGAGTGCAACAGAACGTGCGTGCCGTTGTGCAACAAAACATCGGGAACGTAATCGCGAAATTGTGAGGGAGGCTGGCTGACTATTAAGCCGGCCTGGCTGAAATAAAGCGGTCAAACAGCTCGTCCCGCCTGCGACGGACAGCGCTATCAGTCGCGCCGTCATCTTCGTCGTTGCGAGGCCTCTTCTAGGAAATCCCGTTCCTTAAACGTATGCATGACTCTCGACCGATTCGGGCCTGTTAACATATAAATTGCCGCTTAACGGCGAGACAATCAGTTTCGCAGGAACTCTTGGGGAAGAGGGGTGATGACGGGATCAACAAAGACGGTCGACAGCGAGCGCGAGAGCAAACGGAACGTAAAGGGCAGAGAAGACAAAGAGAGAGAGAGAGAGAAAACGCGAGAAAAGGACCGACGAGGATGGGATGAAGAGACGAGGTCACCCCCGAAAATAACGGAGAAACGCGGTGGAAAGGACGGAGAGCGCGCGCGAGGGTGGTCGACGGAGAGACAGAAACAGGGGAGGGTGGCATTCAATTCAATTTCCTAAGAAACTCTTTAGTGTTTGAGATACAGCCGCCGAAAGGATGCGCGTGAGGTTAGATATGTGGTGGAGAGATTGTGAGTGCGATCGCGAATGTGGGGGAAGACGGATAAAGGGGACAGAGGGGACGGAAGGGGGGGGGAGGAAGTAGGTGGGATAGAGAGAAATCCGGCGGATGGATGGAAGCGCGATCGTGGTTGCGCGCAAACGGGGCGGAAGGGGAGCGAAAGAAGAGGAGACGCGACACGCCGCGCGGGAAGGACGGAGCGGGAGATAGAAAAACTGTAATAGGGAGTGAGTCAGAAGACAAATACAGCGATAGAGGGCTGTAAAAGAGAAAGAAGTTTTTCGTGTGAGTGCAGAGGCGGGAATAAGAGGATGAAAGGGCGAAAGGAAGATGAGGAGGGAGAGAGAGAGAGAGCGAGAGAGAGAGATGAAGGCGGAGGGGAGGGTGGAATTGATATCACCGAAAAGAGAAGGAGGATAGCGAGTTAGGATACAAGAGGGACAGGATATGAGGGAGAACGTGGACGGAAGAACGCGGGATGAACGGAGATGCGGAACGGCAGAGAGAGAGACTGACTAACTGACTGTGGCCGGTTTCAGGGGGCGAAGGGGAATAAGGATTCTGTGCGCGGGCGCGAAGCTGGCGCAAACTCTTCGTGCAGCATCCCTCGTCAGTTGCAAGTCAGGAACTATCGCGGCCGCGTGGCGCCCGCCCGTGCCGCCGCCAGTCCTGCCGATTTTCAGCGCGACGATCGGCCGATCGGATTCGCGTGAGGAGGCGATAGCCGCAGGAGTGAAAAGTTTCGCGCGAAATCGTCCGAGCACGCGATCTCCACCGATGCTGTCCCGCCGCGCGACACGTTTTCGTTCGCGCGAGTAGATTTTTTTTTTCTTTTTTATGGAAAACCGCGGAAACGGAAACGCTGTGGTACCGATCGACGAGCGGGACTTTTTATATGTAGAGAAGAAGCGTGAGATAACACGCGCGCGCGATTACAGTGTGACACGCAATTAGGATTCCTCACGGCAGAATGGATAAAGACTACTGTCGTCGGAAGTACAGAAAAATGCGATGTGCTCTGCTACACCTGCTGCTCATAGTGGGCGGTAAGTTTCATTACGCAGTGTTAAATTTATTACGGAAAGGATGGTCTCTAAGTGATTCTCGGTTTTCTCACTGATTATCACGCCGGCAAGGTGCTCTCTTCATCGACTTCTAATCTCCGGGAATAATCGTTCAAGTGAGTCTTCCACCGGCGCTTCGCCGCGTTGATGAGAAAGTAGCAACGCTGGCTACAGAAAAGGTGGGTGGGGGATTGTGTTTCTCCAGTCAGTGGTAATTTCGAAGCGAGGGTACTTTAAACAACAACTCCACGCAGAAGAGGAGTCTCGTTGATGAAAGCCCTGAAATACTATGTGGCTCTATCAGCCCCGGTTTACATTGCTGGATGACGTCGGGTGTAGCGGCGGGGAGGGGGAAGGGTGGGATAACACCCCCGCTCTTTCGTATCGCGCCAAGAAGGAGAGACGTAAAACGGTTAAGTTCCTACTAAGTTGGGCCTGCAGTCGTTAGGGGAGTCGTTAGGAGCTTTTGGCCTTCCACGCCTTACCTACGTTTACTTCATCAAGTCCCGTGAGGTCCGTTGATACGAGAAAGGACGCGAAATACCTTGCCTTCCTGGCGAATGGGCGGTCGTTTACAGCCGCTCTACGATCGACAAGAATGATATCATTACAAGTGCAGCACGGCTGGATCGAAATTGCAACCTTTTACGCGCGCCGGTGCATTCCTCGATGTTACTACTGCGGCTCGCTGTACTCGCGATTATCACTGCGAAATTTTAAACAGTACAAAAGTGACAGCACGACAATGTTGCTTGACGGTTGCGTATAAATCATGTTTAATTGATCGTCCCGCGCTTTTGGTGAACGAAGCAAACTTTTACGTACTGCGAACTGGAAAAGATTGCAGTGCGAACGTTTTGCTCTGATTCGCGACATCTTGGACGTGAGCCATTTCACTGGGATGGCTCTTATAGAATAACAATTTCAGTATCAGGCTTGTTATAGGCGAGCTCGCTAAAGTTTGGTTTCACTTCGTCAAAGTAGGTCGGGCGCGCAGTACTCATACTTAAGAGAAACATTGGAGAGTGATAGCTTTCTTACAGTCTGTCTTTCGACATAAATCATTTTAAATGAACCTTTTTTTTTCTCGTTAAGAGAACAAGTGTATCTATCATTGAATAGATCTGTCATAGGCTCATTCAATAGTGATGAATGAGTAGAATTGAAAACACGGTCGCATGAGAATTAAATCTTTCTCACGCTACGGAGAAAAGGATATAATTTGGCCGCGTAAGAACAGCTGCTGTGACAATCAGGAGAATTAGTGGAGTAAGTTAAAGTCAGCGGAGGGGTGTGTGAGTCGGTAAGCGAGTTTTTTAGACACGTTCGAAAAGAGTGATGTATGCATTCGACGACGTAAAAAGCGTAACGGGCGAGAACTTCCGAAACTATTTGAGATATCGAAAAACCATTTCCGACTTTCGCGTTTGGAAAAATTTAAAAAGTTTGGTGTGTACGTGTATCTAGATTGACTAACCGGATTGAACCGAGCAAAACAGTCCATACGTTACGAAATCGGACTCTAGTTAAGCCGCGATTGAAGATCATTATCGCGTTTTGCATTTTCAAATTAAGGGGCGTTTAAATTCCATAAAGATTAAAGATTAAAACTTTTAACTAATGTATAGAGCACATTCATACATATATAAATCATTTTTATTTTTAATAAATAATTGTATTAATAAACTATTTTTTTAATAAATTTTATTGATAAATATTATTTAAATATTATATAATTCTACATGATTATATAACATAAAGAAAAAATATTGAAAAATTCTACAAAATTTTCAAATCCTTTTAAAATATTTGATGTATTATTTTTATATTCTATTCTGTCAAGAAAGGGCGGAGCCCACTGGACATCTCGCAATCTGCTAAAAACGAGCAGCAAGCGAGCTAATTAATTTACACAATCTGATTAAACATTAAAATCTTCCTATTAATCTAATCGCTGTTATTATATAAATTTGTTAAATTAATTATAGATATTCGTATACTAAAAGCACATAGCATGTATAGTAAATATGCCAGTGCATACAAATGCTATGTGCATACATGTGCTTTTAGTGTACAAATAATTGATATGTCTGTTGGTATGTTCTCATGTTTTCTCCGAGAATTTTAACACAATATTTATCTTTATACGTAGACAATATAGAGATCTTTTATAGTCATATCGCGCAGTTTTCAATTCCTCGAAATCCACATTGTATTCCGAAAGTTTTTGGGAAGCAGCATGCCATTCTTGCGTTGTGGAACTCGGTTGTTTCCGATGAGACAAATTTTTCCGACTGAATATTTGCCCTACGCCGGACCGCTGCTTTTCCGCACGATTGCGCCGTGCCACGAGAAGGCGAACAGATACGTGAAAATTCTTCGTAGAGAAAGGAAGAAGTCGAGATAGAACAAATCGTGGCGAACGCGTACCGGAATGCAGACATATCCGAGATACACTCACCTCCTTCGCCATCTTCTCACAGATACTTTACTTCCGTGACGTAGCTTCCGCGAATGCGTTCTAAGTCCGCGTTTTCTTTTATTGGAAAAATACTACGCGATGTTGAAAGAGTATATCGATGACATGATTTATCTCTCTTTCGGATGTCGCTTTTAGAGGAGAGATTTTTATATCCAACGGTTTAGCAACGCTATCGCGCATTCTACTCTCGCATCTATATACATACAGCCTTTGTGTATTTAGAAAAGCACTGTGTTTTTTTCGTTCGATCGCGCTGTGATTTTGAGCGAGAGAGAGAGGTAAGATCCTCGGTACCCAAGAAATTTTCCTTTATTTCTATCTGGTACTAGGGTATTTTCGAAATGAGCGTGTTTGCTTCCGAGAGTGCACCATATTTTCGAATGCTTCTATAAACTCTCTTCACTCTGCGAGCAGTTTCAGCGTGAAACGTTTGTTATCTTTCACAACTTTATCCACCGTTGTCCTGCTTAGTTCTTCCCGTACTTTTTATTGCTATTGTTAAATATTTTTGAAAAGAGATCTATTGAGAAAAGTTTGCGCTCATATATATTCATTTAAACTGAGATATGAGTATTGTCAGTTATCCGAATGAATTTGTATGATATTGATGCATGAAAATGAACTGAGAAGTTGAGAGAAGCACTTTTTCTTTCTTATGCAAATGCAGCTATATTTTTCCGGCATGCGCGAACGTTTCGGGAAGTATTCTATAGTTGGGCTCAATTTCGACGGTAGGCTTTAACAAAATTGATCTTTGTCGGTTAACTGCGACGAACGGATCCATTTACAATGTAAATTTCGAAATCAATTCAATGATAACCGAATTAATCCTAGCGCCCAATTATTTGTTTAAATTTTTTAAACCATTTTTGCGTCATTGGTTCATTACGTCACGTATGAATGCTATAGGCATTTCCGTGTTTAAACTGGCAGAGTAAACATGCAAACATTTGCAATTGGAATATGAATTTGCAATTGGAATATCCATCCCTCACGAATTTTTAATGACCATTTAACTTCCTCTTCGGTGTCATTATTTCCGCATGGCGTTAAGAATGTAAGCATGCGTATGACGACTTAATAAATCCATCACAAATTACACATGATCTATTCGCAAGAAACGTCGTTCATATATTTCTCATAATTTGCATAAAGAGATCAACAACGCGAGAACTTGCGCTCGTAATATAATTTTTTCTCGATGCTTTAAAGTAAGAACGTAATAGTAATAACATCCGTTCTTCCTCAGTCTTTCTGCAATAATATTACATTCCAAAATATAACGGATTTAATTCATTCTGTGTAAAAGTAGCGCGCTAAAAGAAAAGCCCTTCAAACAGCTCTGTTCTCGGTATCTTATTCAACACTGCAAATTTTAATCTGCTAATTGTACTTTTTTCTTAATTGATTATTTCACGTCTTAATCTCCTTGTCATCGAAATGTACTTCAAAATAAAAAAGCGAAGGAACACGGCGTCATATTGATAGTACTGTTATCGTAATATACATCAAAATGCAATGCAAATGAAACAAGTGGAGAAAAAGAAATGACAGCATATTAATAATCCTATTTATGCACATTGAAATTTGCAATCCCTTTGGAAGGACTACAAACGCAAAAGCACTAATGTATAAATATAAAAGTCTGCTCGAGGCACTCATCTTTATTGATCGCGAATCAGTCCGCGTCCCCCATTCATAATTATTACATCTGTTGCGACTCTCGAACAGCGATGCCTCAACAAACTTGGCGCGTAGTTCCGCCAGACATTACTTCTAATTACCTTATCAAATTAACCACCCTTCCTTTATTCCTCCTCGCAGCAACAGCTGCAATTCAAGCAGCAGAAACATGGCGCTCGGTCGCGCTCGTGGCAGGGATCAAATTTTGACCAATTACTTCCGCCAACGTTGCTTTTATCGCTCACGACCGGCACTAATGAACGCAAACTTCACGAGGCGTCTGTTACCCGACATGAACTTTACTCTTCGTTAACCAAATTCAGTTTCGCATTCGTAACAATAAACACGAAACATCTATCACCCTCGCTCTTACATATCGCGCACAGTTTCGCGTTCGTTAAACTTTCTTCCTCAATCGCGCGCTCTCTCCACGACTTTAATCTCGATGTCAATTTGAGACGTTCCGAAGTAAGATTGAACGAGATGAAAAAGATCTCGTTAAGGCGAAGGTACCTAATCTGCAGCGTAGCATTACGAGTCCAATAATGATCCCGCAAGCCAAACATTTTATCCACTCGTCGCGCTTCGATTTGCGAAAAAGCAAAAGAGAGAGATAGAGAGAGAGAGAGAGTGAGAGAAGGAGAGACGTCTCTATTCTGATCTCGTCGACCGTCTCGAGCGGGCTACAATCCGCGGGCAGACAGGCCGAAAGATTTCTTCGAGACACGGCATTGGAGATGTACCTTCGTTCCTTCCGCCTTGTCTCTTCTTTCTTTTTCCCCTGAAATCGGAATGCAAAGGATGCAGAAATGAAGAG